TCCCTGGGGTTTTATTGTGGGCTAGTGACGTAGGCACTGTGCCTGCGAGACCAGCTATGATTTCTGAACTTCCGGGCTCTTAGGAGAGCAGGTGTTCACTACAAGTCGCATCGTGTGTACCAGCCTAGGCAGGCTGCGGCGGCAGGACTCCGCGCCCCAGGTAGACAGAACAGCCTTATCAGTCAGAATCATGGGCAGCCTTCCAAAAGCCAATTTCCCAGATACCAGCCAAAGGCCTGCCTAGGAGCAGGACTTTCTCAACAGCCGCATCTGGCCTGCAGTGTTAACCTTTTCCTACACGGGTCTAGTTCGATCTTTGGATCATCTTTTAATCAGATTTTTAGTCTTTTTATTTTTGAACGGTTGGAGATCTTTTCATAGTTTGGACATAAGTCGTTTATTAAATATTAAATACACATTTTGTAAATGTGTTCTCCACATCTTGACTTGTCTTCCATTTTCTTTATGGTGTCTGTGGAAGGAGTTTGGGTAGGGAGGTATTATGATCAGATTTGTGTGCAATCACAAAACCGCTCAGATTCGTATGCTGAGAGTGGGTCACAGGGGCCAAGGGTGGGTTGGGGAGACCCATCAAAGGAGTCTGGCTAAGAGACGATGGTAGTCTGGGCTGGAGGATGTCAGGAGGGATGGAGAGAAGAGGCTGCATGTAAGGAATGCATGAAAAGAAGACAGCGGGACATGGAGACACTCATTATGGATTCCACCAGAAGGAAAGCCGGGCTCTCCAAACTGCTCTGCAGAATACCATATTCTTTGTTTCTAATAGTGGAACTCCCATTAATTTGTGGGATTTCAGTGTTCTGAAAAACTGAGAAAGGCAGGATCCAATGAATGTTAGGGTTCCTCCCGGTTTTCAGGGTTTGGTGCCATGAACAAGGCTTTCTGGGGCTATTTTAACAAGTCTAAAATCTTCTGAGGTGTGTGCCTACATGCATTATTATAGATTGTTTGTTAGTCATACATGTGTGTCTGCAGTGCTGAGCTCTGGTCCAAGAAAATAACTTCACGACTGAAACTGAGCAAGTCCGTGCATGGAGATCCTGGCTAAAAGTGAAGGCGGAAACACTGTTGGCAAAGGGAGGGCAGGACAGGGATGAGGAAATTCACGTTCCTGTATTGACCCAATTACCAGACGTGCCTTGCAAGTCTGTTGCACTGTTGGTTTAAAATGGGATTTTGCATCATTCTCTCCCAAGCGACAGACAGTATCCTAAATGAAAAATCCTTTCCTCAGGCTGGGATGCACAGCTCCTCTCATTTGGCCAGCATCTGCTACCACGGGAGAACCTTTATTTAAGGCTGGAAATTCTATTTACCCAGGAGGCCAAAACACTGTTTTTCTGTTCTTGCAAAATAAACAGAACACCTTGGCACACTAGATGCAAAGAAGGCCTGAGGGAATGGAAAGGAATGTGAGATCAGGTATGCAGGGCAGTGTCAATGCAAAAAATCAGGAGCACAGCGCTGATACCTGTTTTCCCTTCTGATACTAAAAAAAGAAGGCTACATGAATCAATGAGACAAAGTAAGAGTCTAGAAATTGAGAGATATATATGTGCATGTGTGCGTATGTGTATGTGTGTATGCCCTTACTTTATTATTAAGTAGGTTTTGTTGTGTTGTTTTATTTTAGGAGACAATGTAAAGGCTCAGCACTGGTGGGAGCCACATGGTACAGCCATGAATCAGAGAGATGAGGGCATCTCCTCATCAAGCCTAATTGGGCCTGGTGTCCTGAACCTATGGGAAGGGGGGGGCGCTGGCATGCCAGGATGCCTGCTGTGAGGTACACGCTGCAATAGTGAACCCCTTCCTTAAGGAGTTGATGATGAACCCAGCTCATGATGCTGCTCATTTTGCCCTTTTCTGCCTCAGGGCCTTTGCATATGTTGTTCATTCTGTCTGAAAGCCCAACTGCCTCCATCTATCCCCAAGTTTTGTGAATCCATCTTTAAGGTCCATCTTCTCTTCCCTACTTTCTAGATTCAGTCATCAGGATGAATCCCCAATGTTTTATGGAGTCTATACTTTGTATAATTTTGAAGGTCACTTTTCAGAAAAATAAAAATGATGAATGTGAAATTAGATATCCACACAATTATCACCCTCCCCCCTCCCCTGACAGGGTGTTGGAAAAGGACAGGGCAAGTGAGGGACTATGGCTTCAGCTTAACCTCATGGTGAACCTGGGTCTCTGGCTGCAAGGAATGCTGTGTGTTGGCCTTCAGAACCCTCATCCCTGTCGGTAATAAGATGTTTGGTCCTGGGAGTATTTGATTCCTCTCCACCTTCCCACTAGACTGTAAGATTCACGAGTGGAGAGAAGGTCTGTTTTATTCATCATTATTCTCCTAGTGTTGTCTAGTGCCTGGTACATGAGAGGTGCACCAAAAATGATTCAAATGAATGAACCCTGAATTCCGAATCACAAAAGTTATAATCACAAGACTTCTAGTTTCCGCTCCTTGAGTCTCTGCTTGCCAGGCTGTGGCTGTCCATATTGAGAGCTCAGGACGTGCTAGGAAGCCTCAGCCTGGACAGACACGGGGGAGAGTCACTCAGAGCATGTGGAAGTAAGGGAGACTGAAGTTGGGGGTGCTTCTGCATCAAGGGCATGGCTTCTAATTTCCACTGTCAGTAGCACTGTGTCCCCCAGGATAAACACGACTTTGTGAGTGGTGGGGACACCTGTCAAACTACCCTTTATAAGAGGATGGTATTCTAAAGCTGCTGTCAGCTCATCTGCCCTGATGAGAAAGGCAGCAGTCGTATCCTTAAACCAGCAGCGGGTCTCAACCAGGGAGATTGTTTTGTGCCCCAGAGGACATTTGGGAAGGCCTTGGGGGCATTTGTTGTTATATTTACATGTGGGGGTGGGTATTCCTAGCATCTAATGGAGACAGGCCAGGGAAGCCTCTCACAGGAAAGGGTGATCTGGCCCAGAATGTCAATATTGCTCAAGTTGAGAAACCCTGCATCAAACCCCCAGGATCGCTCACCACCACTTTCTCTGGACACTCCAGCTGTGTTCTTTCTATAATCCACATAGAACAGTGGGAAATTGTTGCTCAGAGGGTGAGGAGGAAGATAGTCACCAGAGTAAATGTGAAGCAATCATATATTTCAACCATATATGCAGTCTACTAAAAATAAAGCTAATATTTATTTTAACAGGCACTGTTCTAGGCCTGAACATTGAATGGCTTGGGAATCTTATTAAAATGCAGATTCTGAGTCAATAGGTCTTGGGTGGAGCCTGAGAGTCTGAATTTCTGTCCAGTTCCTAGGGGATGCAAATCCTGCCACCGCGTTTGGGACAGCAAATTTCTTGGCCCTTAGGATACATCAACCAACAAAACAAAGACCGTCTGCCCTTGGAGAACTTCCAATGTGGCCAGAAGTGAACTGGACCCCAAGAAGGGTGGCCAGGCTGGAGGACGGCACTCAGTGCCTCAGGAAATCAGAGCTAGAAGAGAATTTAGAGATGATCTAGTTGAACCGCCACATTTTAGAGTTTGGGAAACCGAGGCTCACAGGAAGGAAGGGAGCTGGTCCAAGTCACACAGCTTGCTGTGGACAAGGCTGTTTGATTCCTATTCACCTGCATCACCAAGATTCTCAGAGATCCCTTGGGGTGCAGAGCACAGTCAGGGTGGGGAAGGGCTAGCAGCTTTAGAGGTGGCAGGGGTGGGGGTCTAGGGACCCTCCCCACCCCACAGGAGGGCCCCACTACACTAGATCCAGGAAATCCTGATTGCCTACTTTACTCCTTGCTATCGTGACACACACACGAAAGCTGGGATATGTCTGGGGAGACAGGAGATTCTTCCTGGCTGGCCCTTTGTTTTTCTGCATGACGACACCTGCAGCAAGGACGAACCCATGTAAAAGTATGGAGTGGTCCATTCTGAATGCATTCAGTCATTTGGTGAGCAGATGTAAAGAGTAAACTCAAACCGAATTAGTCCAATTAAAACCTCTTCTTAAGGTGGAGTGGAATGACAATCTTGCACACGGCTGAAGTTCCTCTTCTTATCTTTTAGGGCCCCCCTGAACGGAGCCCTCGGCCCAGAGCTTCAGAATACCCAGTCGTTACAATGTGTTGGAAAGCAACTGCTTTCCCCACTGCTTGTCTCTGGAAACAGAAACTTTTAAATTCATGTCAGTTCAACTGGAACAGTGGCAAATTTCATGGGGTAGCTAAAAAGAAGAGTAACAGCTGGTACATCAGGCATTAATAATATAACAAAGGAAGAAAAAAGAGAAACTTTTCATTAATATCTTTCGATGTCAATTTATTATTTATCTCTTTGCCAATATTCAAACAGGCAGGCGGTCATAAAACATTCAAAAAGATCCTCTCAAACAGTCAAGGCATCTGTTTTACCTCAGTTCCTTTTTAGAAACCTGGAAATCAGGAGTCCTGGCATTTATTAAAAAAAAGTGGTGTTAAAAATATCTGCCGTATCAAAAATACTGTTTGAAGATCACTTCTTAGAAAGATTTAAAATTGTATCTACAGCTTATGCAGGCAGATGGTAGTTAAGAGCTGTTTCCAAATTTTTGACTCCTCACTTAGTATTATTTTGTTGGAACAAGGCGTTGACAAAGCCCACTGTTTGGTAATTAGCATCCTGTCAAGTCTCTCCCATCAACACAGGCATCCGCACCTGGTTCTAGTTAAAAAATGTGTGTGGGCAGTTCTGAGCTGACCCTCAGGGGCTCTGCCTGGCACAGAACTGCCTTTGATGCGCATGCCTGAGTCACCCCTTACCGAACAAGAAGGCCTCTGCAGTGACAGGTTCTGAGAGCTGTGGTCTAGTTCTAGTGACCTGTCATGCCATTTTAACCTCTTTGGAGAAAGTCCATTCTTGAGATGTCGGCACCTGCTCCTCCTCCCAAAAGAAACGTGTATCTTCCTCGGACAGAAGATGCCTCTGAAGTCAACTCTTTGCTTAAGTAAAATAAAGGAAACATGAGAAGAAAAAAAAAAAAAAAGCCCAAGACCTTGACTGCCCTTTGGTCAGGAGGAGCTCTGTGGAGTGGTTGACTCTTCCCAGCCTGTCTTTCCTTCACTCCTCTGGGTGCTGCTGCCTTTCCAGGAACTGTCCCTGGTGTAGAGGTTGTGGTCCCTGATGTAGGTGATGACGGCATCTGGGAGCAGGTACTTCACGCTGTGCCCCTGGCTCAGGGCCTGCCGGACGTACGTGGAGCTGAGCTCGTTCTGCACGGGCTCCCTGGCCAGGTGAATGTTGTGCCGGTACTGGTGCAGGATGGGTGAGCCTGAGATGTATTCCTTTGGGTTGTGACCTGTGCGGCTCACGCACACCACACCGAACTTCTCCACGATCTCCTGGATGTGTGTGTCTTTCCAGAGGTTGGGGGTCTGGAAGGTCTTCAGGACGTCTGCCCCGCAGAGCAGCTTCAGCTCTGGCACAGCTGGAAAAACAAGGGCGGAGGCCAACAAGGTTACAGAAGGGTCACGGCCAGTAAAGATAACATCATATTCCGTCTGAAAACTGCACAGGATGCTTTTCTGGGAATGTATTGGGAACTCAGTGTCTGTGTGTTCATGACTGCAAAAGAAAAAGCATGTAAGTGAATCTGGAGCGACTTCAGGGACATACAGTTGTTAAGTAATAATTTAATCAATAAGTCTTTTGTTTACTATTGGTAAGGTGCCAAGAAATACACAATAGCCTGTTTGTTTGTTTTCCTCCAGTACTCTACCACAAGTCTGCGTGCAGTGGCTGGACCCCACGGCAGGGTGAAATGAAGGCGGCTGTGGACCTGTAAGGCTGTAAAATCCTAGTGCTAGCTGTGGGTCTCAGGCAAGTCACCGCCCTTCTCACAATCTTATTTCAGCCCTAACACCTGGAACTTTTAGAAGTAAATCTCAGCATAAAGGTTCTTGGGATAATCAACAGCTAGTGACCTTTTCATCTGTTTTCAATATAACAAAGCTCTATAACAACTGATCAATGTGGATAATCCTTTGGCATTTGTTCTAACAGAAAGATGGTTGTGATGATGAAAGGATGCCTAATGTTTACTGGGTGCTCACCGGGAGCATCACCGCTAAGCGCTTTGTGGGTTTAATCTCCTCTGATCCTCAGAACAATCTCACGTGGTAGGCGTTATTGTTGTGCCCCGTCTGCGGAGAGGGAAACCTGCCTGCCTGAGGTCATTCCAGGCAGAGGAGGAGGCAGGACTCAAACCTGACCTCCGGCCTCCGGGTGGGGCATTTGTAAATGATGGGCTCTGCCGCCTCCTGCTGGCGGAATTGTATATGCATCAGAACCCCGACGCCCTTCCTGGATTTTCCTGGCACTGTTCAAGGTCATGTCCCTTTTGAATGGGTTGATGTGGAAAGGAGAAAATCAAGTCTATGCTAGAAGCAGCCACTAGGATCTCTGGTCCTCCTAGAAGCCGATTCTACCTTCAGTAAATGGCAAAGGCTGTGTTCCTAGAGCTGGCAGCTCTCAGTCACTGGGAAACCTAAGCTGGGGCGGGGGGTGGGGTGGAGTGGGAGGAACGACTTCAGGAATACCACCAGCTGGGGAAAGAGCTGATGTAAATGGTGGCTTGAGGCTCCTCTTCTGTGGAAACCTGGAAGGATCTGGGCATGGATCAGAGAGATGAGTTTACAAAGGAGCACTAGATCAGCTGTGGGACCGAAAGTGAGAAACTGGAGGGGTTATGGGGAGGTCTGAATTCAGCCTCAGTCAGGCCCTGGCTGCTATGGGGCTGATCCAGCCTTCTCTGGGCCTCAGTCTCCCCACTGAGGACTGGACTTATTTACTGATTTTGAAGAAGCAGATATAATTATAGAAACAGACTTTTCAAACACTCTTAGCAACTTAATATTGCTATAATGAAAGGATATTCAAAGACTGATACATGTATTCATAAATTGTCTGTCCATGGTTAAGAACTAGGACTTTAAAGCCAGACACCTTAGACCTGGCTCTGCCATTCAACAGCTGTGTGACCTCAACTTTAAAATGAGGATATTAATAGTACTTACCCCATAGGACTATTTTATAACTGAATGAGCCTATAAGTATGAAGTACTTAGAACAGTGCTTAGAACAGAGTAACACCTATCAACAGAGTGTGATAGGTATTAAGTACCATCCATCATCCATCCACCTTCTTATCCACTAACCCATTCATCCACATGTCCATTCAACACTTATGGATGGTTTTTTTCCATAGGGAGTATTTTTAACATCAGTAAAACTGCGTTTAAGAATTATTCAATAACTCACACTTTCCACTACTTTGGGCTGGACCCATTGCTCACAACATATGTGGATTTGAACTATTTTTCATCCCCAAGGTTCTACTCCAATTTCTTATTTATTCAACCACTGTAATATAACAAGAGACCAGCTTTTGACCTTTTAAACAAATGCGTGATTTTTACGTGCTCTTCCTATGGGAGAGGTTAAATGATGGGCATTTAATTGTAGGGTCTCCTGAGGCCTGGAGCATACTGTCCTCCCCTCCCTTTCCCACAGGTCAAAGAACAGAAGATACCCCCTTTCCTCTTTTGGTGGATTTTTGTGGGAACAGTTTCCACACAATGGCTTCAATATTAGACACTATTTGATTTATTAACAGTGACAGGAATACAATTCACCGTGAGCTCTTGCCTACAGGGGACAAGTGACCACACCTTCCCATCCCCCAAATCAAAGGCATGTCTGCGGGGTAATCACTTCTTCTGGCAACATGTGCCTTGGACTCCCACTCTGGTCAGCCCTCAGAGACCACTGTCTATCTCTTTCAAATCCATTCACATCACTGCTACAAACTCTTCACACTGGGTGCCTAAGTCAGAGGTGCTGAATAAAGGCTGGTGATCTGATTTGTCTTAACCATGATGTATTGACCTACATCGGATGTCCATGGGTATTTTGGGGACAGTGTGCTTTCTTGGAACAGCCACAGGCTTTAAAAAGCAGAGATTTACATGGAAAGTGAGGGAAGTGCCACCAGGACCTTTTTCTTTGGAAGTCCAGTTTATATTAAGAACACCCAGGCCTGAGGTCAGTCAGCCCTGGGTTCCATTTCAGAGCTGCAGGAAGCTTGGGAGAGTTCTAGCAGCCACGGCAGTTCCCTCTGCTGTAAAATGGGGATGACCTCCTGCGGAAGTTCTGGAAATTGAGTGATGGACTGAATGCAATTTGAATTTCTGGCCTAGTGCAGGGTATGGGCACATAGCCATGTGTGAGGAGTGTGAGACTCTGAGTGGACGGGACACCAGAGCTGAAGCCAGGGATAAAGGGTGGTGCCCAAAGTAACTAGACAAGGCCACTGTGGATCAAATTGGTGCAAGATGGAATCAGAGGGAGTGGCTGCTCTGGTTGTGCGGACAGGGAATCCTTTGAAGGCTGCTGAGCTATGCTCAGCCTCAACAGCTAAGGGCAGGGACCACCTGCACAAAAGAAACACATACCATCAGGCTGCTAGAGGACCAACTGAGGCATCCTCCGTCCCATGTGTCATATCCAAGCAGCCCAGAACCAGGCGGCCCGCATGACTGGGTCAGTCCAAGGAGGACCGCAGATCATGGGAGTGATGGGCGAAGCAGGGCTCTGGCTGCCATAACATGCTGAGTTCAGCCTGTAATCTTCAGTCCCAAAGGAGATGAGCGTCCAACGAAATACACAGCACACAAAGTGGTCCTTTACAAATATGTTACTAGTAACATACAGGCCACCTGGTCAGATGCGAGATTTCAGCTGAGGAAGAACTCCACCTTCCTCTTGTTCATTGTTCTAGTGTTGTGGACCGTTTTTCCCTCTGATTACAAACATGAAATCTATATCCATTATAAAATGTATGGAAAATATGTATTTAATGTAGAAAACAACAATTCTGCTTTCATTTTTTTTTTTTTTTAAAGATTTATTTATTTATTTGACAGAGGGCATGAGCAGGGAGAGCAGCAGGTAGAGGGAGAGGGAGAAGCAGACCCCCTGCTGAGCAGGGAGCCCAGTGCAGGGCTCCATCCCAGGACTCTGGGATCATGACCTGAGCTGGAGGCAGACGCTTAATGACTGAGCCATCCAGGCACCCCAACAATTCTGCTTTCTACAAAAACTTAATATTTTCCTGTATTTTTTGTTTTTTTTCTATTGATTTAGACATGCAAATAGATGTACAAGTATATTTACATTTTTATATACTTGCGATTATATATACAGAATCATATCCTGATTTTTCCCACTTACCTCATAAGCCTTCCTCCAAAAACCTTTTGTTTCAATTATTTGTCCTGTGTACACAGAATAATTTAAACGTTCCCTAATACTTAAACATGGAGGTTGCTTTTATTTTCTGCCATTATAAAAACTGCTGTGCTAAACATCTTTCTACATAAATCTTTGTCCCAATTTCTAATTATTTCCACTGTCTGGTTCCTAGAAGGGGAATATATCAAGCAAAGGACATGAACATTTTTAAAGCCCCTAATATATTTTGGTAAATTGAAAAGCCCACTTTTCATTCAACATGAACTTTCTTTTTTTAACAGTTACTTTAGGAGAGAACGAAGATGAGCAGGACCCAGGGCCTGAATAGCAAGAAAAGGGATAAAGAACAAACTCCCAACATTACAGGGCCAAGCAGAGTAGCCCCTAGAAAAATAAATTTGTAAAGAATGCGGGTGAGCTTTGGCTGAGGGAGGGGTAGAGCCTGTCTCCGTGAAAGCGAGCTGGGACTGGTTTCACAGGAAGATGGGTCCAACGTGGGCCAAAGAGACAGGTAAGTTTTCAAAAATGGAGTCAGAGGGAAGCGGGGAGGAGAGGCACCCAGCAAAGACCTAAGACAGGGATTCTGGAAGCAGGTGCAGAGAGGGCAAGTGTGAGAGGCTGGGAGCCTGTGTGTGGCATCCCTCCCACATCATTGGAGGTCCCTGCCTGTCACTGGAAGCTCCAGCATTCCCTAGCAGCAAGAAATGCGCAGCACCTATGCCATTTCCTGCCTTTGTGCTTTGCCTAGCTGCCCCTCTGCCCAGAATGTCCCTAATCCCAGAGAAGATACTGATCCTGAGTCCTGGTACTAGTGTCTCCTCTTCCAGGCAGCCTTCCTAATCCATGCCTGGACTCCACACCGTTCACAGCCTGTCTGTAGCCTTAGGTCAGAGGCTGGGGGAGGCTACCTTTGTTTTCCTGAGTCCAAAGCCAGGCCTGGGGAGGTGCTCAGCGGGTGTCTCCTAACTCTGGTAGAAGTAGTTGCTGAGCCAGAGATGCTTCAGAGAGAAGGAACGCTGCCTGTGCTCCAAGACTGGAAGATGGGGAAAGAGAGGCAGATACACCAGAGGATTACACAGGAGATGCTGGACCTCCTGCTTTCTTAGATTCCTACTCTAGTGCAGTCCCCTGAATTGGCCATAAAGCAAATCCCAGCATGCCTGCTAAATATCCAGATTCCCAGAACTCAGGGGGCCTGGGCTGTGGCCTAAATTGTTATACACCTCACAGGTGATTCTGCCGGTGAGTGATCCTTTAACCAGCATTTGAGGACTGCTGCATGAAACCTTTAGGGCCTGGTAGCATCTTCGAGTTCTTTTAAAGATTTATTTTATTTTATTTTATTTATTTGTCAGAGAGATAGAGTACAGGCAGGCAGAGTGGCAGGCAGAGTCAGAGGGAGAAGCAGGCTCCCCGCGGAGCAAGGAGCCCAATGTGGGACTCGATCCCAGGATGCTGGGATTGTGACCTGAGCCGAAGGCAGCCGCTCAACCGACTGAGCCACCCAGGCGTCCCTCGAGTTCTTTTAGAAGAGCGCCTTCCAGTCTGTTCAGGGTGGGGAAGGGCACTGTGTTCTGGGGCACCAATATGTGTCGAAAAGGGTCCCATGACTAAAAAGTGATAATGGCCACAAGCTAGTTCCCTTTCTTGTAGAGTCACAATGCACATGATCATAGTAAAGGCTCTGAAATGTCCTTCAGGAAAGGCTCTGAAAAGTCCTGCAGGAAATTTTAGGTTGGTTTACCTGTGACATTCCTGAGCCCTTTTGATCTGGAACTGGTACACACCATCCACAGTTGGGAGACACGCAGTAGGAAAACCCCATAGATGCACCTGCTGGGGTTTCAGCGGGGCAGGACCAGTAAGTCCCAGACCATGTCACATCCTGCCCTTCCATCACCAGGGACTCCTGTTTATTTTCATGAGGGGCCTACACACTTGACCCCTAGTACCAGGGCTGCCATTAGAGAGGGAAGATACTTCGAAGTCACAACTAGTAAGATTCCATCAAACACCAGGAGCTGACAACAGGGTAGAAGCCTAGGGTTACAAATTAAAAGGACATTCCACATGGACTGAAATTCCCCTAAAAACAGGTTTCTGTTTGAGGATCAGAATGGCACATTTGTACTCAGAAAGGCTCAGGCTTTTAAAGGAGCCCAGCATCACTCACCAGTTTATCCCTGTGTAGCCCTGACTGTAATCCAGGTCACAAGCACAAGTCACAAGGGTAGGTAAACTCCTTTGGAGAAGAAAATCCTAAATTAGCAAACCGATTTATAAGGGATGGTGGCAGATTGCTGACAATGACCTTTCAGCCTGGGAAGTGTCACCACAGCCCGGCAAGCCTCAGAATCCTTATCCTGCTTGGGAGTGGGTCCTGCGCATCCCTGACCTCTCCTCCTCCCAGGGACAAGAGGGTCCGTACCTACCTGTGGGGGCTGTGCAGCGAGCCCTGCCGTGGTCTGGGCCTTCCCTCTGGGGTAGAGATCTGAGCAGTTCACTGTGATGATGCCTGCATTGCAAACACATGGGCTCAGGGTGTGCCCATCCCCACAAAGCCACCCAGGGGTCTGTTTTTAAGTCTCCACCTGCTTTTGTCCATTTTAGGTAGGTAGCTAGTTCCATAAATGTTTGTGGAGGGCCTACTGCTATGTGCCAGGGGCTGGGATGGAAACCGGATGTGATCGGGTCCTCTTAACCCTCCACTGCCTTCTGTGAGCCCTGGTGGAAGGTGGGGGGTGGGTGGGGGGATGAGCGTGGTTCTACTTTTTTTTTTTAACACTGTCTTTAAATACCTCACTTAAAAAACATTGAGTAGGGATTAAGGATGAGCGCTATAAGAATCAGACACATGTGGGTTCAAAATAAAACCTTTCATTTGTAAAGTGAGGACAACGCCTACCTTTTAGACTTTTGTGAGAGTGAGTCAGCTACTACACGGTACGTGGCCCACAGCTCACTCTTGTTCTCAACTAGTATTTCAGGACTTCTTGGGGTAGGCTGCCTAGGCTGAATCTCAGCTCCCCCACTGGTCAGCTGAGTGACCCTGGGAGGCCGTCAACTGCTTTCTGTGCGGACAGTTCAGCACTTGTGTGACAAGGAAGAGTGACCGTGTGTGCCTCTCACTAGTGGTCACGAGGATTGAAGGAGTTATGCACGCAACGTGCACGGAACAGCGGGCAGGACGGAGCAAGTCTCATTTGGTGTTAGCATTTCAGATCTGATTAGACTCATGCCGGCTTGGCATGCCTGGCTCTTTTAGCAATCAGAGTGCGAATCAAGACATACCTGATCAAACACAGGTAGTCACCACATCTTGTATCAATGCACTCTTCCACCTACTGAATTATACATTTATGAGCTGTGTTTGGGGGAATGCAGGGGCTCTGTAGATAGACTGGGTGGGTTCGAGTTTAACTTTTCTTGTTTGTATGACCTTGGATGAGTCACTGCCACTCAGAGCCTCACTGACCTCATCTGTTTATTGGTCATCATGAAGCTGATGCTGACCTCCCTGCTGAGCATCACCAGACCGTGAGAGAAAAAGCGCTTCCTACCCTGCCCAGTGCTGGGCGAGTGGCCCAGGGCTGATCATCACTGGGGGGAAGGCATGGTGTAAAGGTTAAGCTTTACAGTTAGACTGCTTGGTTGGAATTCTGCTTCCAACCAGCAGCTGTGGAATTCTGGTGGGCTCCTTAAGCAATCTGCCTCCAGTTTCCTCATCTGTAGAATGGGGGACGATGACCGCACCCACCCCTGTGAGCTGCACTGAGGATTCATGGAGCAGCTTAGTACCGGCCCATCCACAGAAAGAACTCAGTCAACTTTAGCAGTTTTTCTGTGAATGGTGAGCTCATTTAATTCATCCTTATAGTTTTAGTTCTCAGGAACTGCTTACCTAAAATCTGCTGAATTCAGGAATGATGGAAGGAGTGGACCAATAAATACATTTAATTCTGGCCCCTAGTCTTTTCTGATGATCTCAGAGACTCAGCTGAGTCTTCTCAGGGTCTAGTTGGACTCTGTGTTTCCATTATTGTCTGCTTTGGTTTTGGTAAGCTTCAAGTCTGAGGATTCACTCCTAATTAGATTAGAATCTTGCACCATACTGAAATAGGTGTGAGTCTCACCTCTACTTTCTAACTGTAGGAGTCTGTGGATGTTACTGACCCTTTCAGAACTTCCATTTTCCCATCTGTAAAATGGGACTAAACCCACCTACTTCTCAGAGTTGCTGAGGTGACTAGATATTAACCTACCTAGAAAAGCCTGGCACAAACAGGTGATCAGTACAAGTGGTGACTGTCATTTTATTGTATTTACCTTGAAGATCCTAGTTCAAGTTGACCCTACTTGAATATTAGCTGGCTCTCTGAACTCTGATGTGTGAGTAATTATTCTCACAGACCTCCACTGGGCCTCTGTGGGGCAGTGCCCGTGGCTTCTTCCTGTCTGCCTGAGTGGTGTCCCAGTGTGCCCAGCCCCGGGCCTGAGGGCTGACCCTGGGAATGAGTTTTCCATGTCCTTCGCAGTCCAGGCATGCCTGGTCAGAGGGTCCCTGTGGCAGGAACAGAGTCAGCCCCTCTGTGCGCCCACCAGTAGATCTCTGGTTGGAGGAGGACTGTAAGTGTGGCTTCAGACTCAGACGGGGGCTCTGCCACTCATTTGTGACTTTGATTAACTTAGCCTCTCTGAACCTGGTTCTTCATCTGTAAAAGGAAGATAGCGTAAGATCATGCTTGCAGAGGGGTTGGTGAGATGACAGTAGTGACGGTGACCATGATGATGGGCCACATCAAATGGCATTGTGACTAAGGACCTCCCCTCACAGCTCCAGAAGGTGAGCAAAGTAAGTTATCAAATGTCCTAAAAGCATGAAAGCTGGCCTAGATTAAAAAAAAAAAAAGTAAAAATAAGCAATCTGATAAGTAGAAAAAGAATCCTCAATGAACTCTACTGTGAATTTACTTCATAGTGACATTTGTCATAGTCACACTATTTGTCCCTATGATGCAAATCCCCTGTTGACTCGTCAGGAAGATACTAAATGGAGCAAAGCGTGGGGTGGTTTATTACCTTGCTTCTAGAATCACCTAACCTTACAACTACCAGATTTTCAATCTTAAAAAGAAAAATGCTTGGGAAATTTTAGGAAAACATTAATAATCAAATTTTCTGAGAAGCTCACTCTAAATGTTGGAAAAAAAGAATGGGATCAGTTATTAGCAACACTGTGTTGTCTGTATCAGTGGATTTTCAACCCTGGCTGCACAAAATCTATCATTTGGGGACCTTTAAAAAAATACCCACACCTAAACCCCACCCACAAATCATAATTCCTGGGGGTGGGGAGATGAGCATTTTTTAAAAAGTTTCCCAGGTGATTCCTATAGCCAGGGCCCACTGGTTTGGATGGATCTTGGTACTAATCATAAGCCTGGTTCACATAGTTTGTGACTGAGACGGTGGCCTCAATCCTAGCCAAGCATTAGAATCACTAGGGAGCCCTTAAAAATTCTGATGCCCCATCCCAGACCAGTGACATCCCAGTCTCTGGGAGAAGTTGGTACTTTTGAAAGCTCCCTAGGTGATTCAGGGTGTAGCCAGGGCTGAGAAGCACTGGACTAAAGAATAGAGTAAGAAAAAGAAAAAGCACATGTAAAATCAGTAAAATCTCAGCTCACACCTGCATTTTGTAACAGAAGCGGCAACAATATTATATAGTTCTGTGGCCAGTTTACCCAGGAATGGCTTATCTGTCTTGAGGATAAACTCTGGGCCAGTGTTGGGGAGACAGGGAAGGTAACTAACATTATTAAGCACCTGCCATAAACCAGGTATTTTGCCCACATCATCCCATTTAATTCACGCAGTGCCCCAGAGAAGTAGGTGGTGTCACACTCATTTTATTAGGCGAGGAACTGAGGCTCAGAGATGCTAACTCACATCAAGTCCCTGATCTAGTAAACTGGACTTCCAAATCTGGGCCCTAGGCTACACTGCCTCTCACAGGGTGAAGGAGGAAAGCGTCTTTGTGACTACGTGTTAAAGCTAAACGATTTGCTGGATCTTCTACTCTTTTGTGTGTCTTCCCCTCTGCTATCCTCCAGAGATGAGAACTGGCTGTTATTTCTTATTCTGAAGGGATGATCTAGGTGTAAATTTATTCTTTATGTTAAAAAAAAGAGCATGTATTCTAACCGTCATTTCATATTTGCTCTTCTTTTAATTTGGCAAGAGGTTCTGAAGTAGCACTGAATTGCTACTGAATGCTTTTAGCTGGTTCTTTCCCAAGAAAAAGGCAAATAATCAGAGCCAAGATCTGTAACTAAATGTTTACCTTTAATTTAAGAAAAAGGTAAACAGTTTTCAACCAAGTGACTGTGAAGATGAGTAAAAAATGAAAACCTAAATCGATTTATGAGGGAACAGGCCTGCCAATTACTGGACACTGTCCAGTCCTAGTGCTTCCAAACAGAGAGAAGACACAACGCCCAGTTTGCAGTCCCTTCAGCAGAGCCGGCTGTCTGTGAGAGACAGGCCCACCTCCCGGTCCCCTCTGACCCCCAGGCTGGACAGGGCTTCCTGCTTCTCTGGTAAGCTCACAGGACCCTTCCCCAGACCCAAGTCAGTGACCCACTGCCCCAACTCCCAGGGCTCTCAAGGCTTTCAAACAGCCAATTACTTCTGCTGGGTGCCTATAGCAGTTCCAAAAGGAAAAGGTCCCGAGCAACTTTCTAGATTTATAGGCTTTTTTTTTTTAAATTTTACATAAAAGTCGAGATTTATAGAGCCCAGAATTTGTACAATTAGAAAAGATGGCTTATGAGGTAGATATAGTTTTCACCCTAGTCAGTGATGACAATGATAGAAGGTCCCACTTAGTGAATCCTCTAACGGGGTTCTGGGACAGAAAAGTTCTTTACATTTAAAAAGTCCTCATTAGGTTTTATTGTCCCCATTTTGCAAGTGAGAAATGTGTCTCAGAACGTTAAATGCCCAGTCTCGCTGGCTGCACCGGAGCCCAAGGAGACAACCCTCTGAATCGAGATTGGGCATTTCCAGAAAGTGCATCCCAAAAGGCAGTGGGTTCTGACTGTTTTCACTCTGGCCCTGCTTGAGAGTGGGTCTGTGGGTCTCTCTGCCTCTGAGAGGAAGCACTTCTGGGATTTTGGCTGAGCAAGCCTGGCTGAAGCCCTACTTCATACTTGGTCCCTACTTTCAACCGCAGGGCTCTACAGATGTGTCCCATGACCCCTGGTCATCACACAAAAGCATGCTCTGCTGTTACCTCAGCACCTTCACTGTCTCCATCCACTGCAGCTGCTCGCTCTCCCAGGGGTCCACCCGGACCCAGTCGGACGTCTGCAGGGCCAGCCGGGCCATGGCCACCCGGTGGTGGGCAGCCACAAGGTCTTGCTTCCTGTAGTGGTCGTTGACAGGAGAGATGATACCCCCGATCACCTGGTACATTCCTAGGCAAGGGAGAGCAGGAGTGTGTGGTATGTGCCAACAGTGACCACCCAGCCACCTGGAAACTCTCTGGGCCTCATCCTGAGTGGGGGCAGACTCGGGCATTCTCTCCTGCTGGGCCAGCCCCCTCAGGCATGGGTAAAGTCTGCTCCAGGCACCATGTGCTTCTCCAGTTGGCAATAGCCCCAAGTCATACTTCTCCTGAGACCTGGGCTGTGAGGGGGTGGCCAGACAAGGCGCCCAGAAGGCAGTGTGGACAGTTAGGGTCAGAACACAGGAAGGTACATGATGGCCTCCTCCTGCACAGGACTTAGCAGAGGCACCATCATCCTCTAATCATGGATGGGACAACAGTGACATGCAGTTTCTTATGCCCAAACAGGGGATCTTATGAATCAAAGATGAAGGGAGGGGCTGGAGCATGGACCAGGTAGGTGGGAGGTGGGAAGGAGATGTGAAGGGGTGGGTCTAGGAAGAACGGGAAGGCCTACTTTGGGAAAGATGTGGGTTGTGCTGATGATGAGTGATGCAGTATGGCTCAGGGACTGGAGAATGGAACACTTCAAGTTCAGAGCCAGAGTGACATGGCAGAAGCTACAGAGAACCAGCATGGAAAGAGTCTGAGCAGGACCCGAGAGCCTTAGGAGGGGGCTCCAGCTCCATCACTCCCTAGTGCACCCTTGGCAATTACCAACCTATGTGGAAAAATAAAATACGTAGTCATCTGAACTTCAGTTTTCCTGTATGTGAAAAGGGATCATACCTGCTTGGCAGGACCTTGTGCTAAGGAGAGATATTAGCGAATCCTTATGTAGTGGGATGATATTTTGTTTTAGGATGTGACATATTTTTAAAAATCGTGTTATAAAATATAACATGCACACAAAAACACGAAACACATGTGGGTTGACAGAAAGTTATAAACTATATCCTGCTTTCATCATCACCTAGATTAAGACACAAACACTTCGGGCACACCAGATGTTCCCACCACAAGCCCCACTTGGACAGCAGTTAATCACTACTCTTACTTTTTTAATATTAATTCTCTGTCCTGTATAGCTTTACCATGTATTTATGCAGCCTTAAAAAACATAAATTCATTTGCCTTCTGAAACTTTTACAAATGGAATCAGACTGAATATATTCTTTTGTTCAGCCTTTTTCACTTTATGTAAATAAAATTCATATAATCCAACCAGTCTTATTGCTGCATAACCTTCCATTGCAAGATTATATACTAAATAATTGATCTCTTTTATTGTTGATGGACTTGGTCTGAGTCCGGCTTTGGACAATTATAAACTGCGCTGCTATGGACATCCTTCCCCAAGTCTCCCTGTGCACAGAGCCATGCCTGTCTTAGGACACACATCTAAGAGTAGACCTGCTGAGTCATAGGGCAGATGTCTCTGCAGCTTTTCTAGATAATGCTGGACCGTTTTCCAAAGTAGTTATAGCTATTTGTCCTCCAACCAGCCATGCAGGAGAGTTTCATTTGCTCTGGGCCCTGCCACACAAGGTTATGGTCAGGATCTTCCCAATCTGAGAGATGTGCAATTAAATCTCACTGTTGTTTTAAAGTTCATTTTCCTGCTCACTAGTGAGGCTGAGCATTTATTCGTATATATTATTTAACATTCAGGCTTAAATTTTTTGTGAAAGTGCCTGTTCAAATCTTTTGCCCATATTTTGGATTGTCTGCTTTTTTAACATTGATTCGTAGAGTTCCTTACATATTCTACATACAAGCCTTTTGTTAGTTGGTTATAGGAGTCATAAATACCCTCTTGTTTTATGGCTTGCCTTATTGTTGTTTTTTAATGGAATCCTTTGAAAATGAAAAAAAAGTTCTTAATTTTAATGTAGTTGGGTTGGGTTATTAGTTTTTTCCTTTATGGCCAGTGCTTTTTGTGTTATGAAGACATTTTCCTGTATTATCTCATAAAAAGTTTACTGTTTTTTTCACATTTGGGTCTTTGTGCACGATGTGAATCCTATTATTTTTCATGTGGATAGTCCATTATTCCAGCAGTGGTTACCAAAAATCTCCCGTCCACCCTGCTGCTGTGCTCTGCCAACCATGTGTTGAACATCAGTGTTCACCTGTACAAGGGCCTGCTTCTCTGCTGTTCTGTTCTTTGCTCTATTTGCCCGGCACTGTGCAACAGCACACTGCTTGGCTTAATATAGCTTTATTACACATCTTGGTATCTGGTTAAGCAAATTCTCCCACCAGCTTCTGCTTGAGGAGTGGCTTGGCAATTCTTGACTTTTTGTACTTCGCATATACATTTCAGAATGAGCTTGTCAGATTCCACAAATGAAGCACCTCTCCTTGCCCCTCCCTGCAAAACCTACTGAAATTCTGATAGGTACTGAACTGAATTTATAATTTAATTTAGGGAGAACTCAAGCCTTTACAGTTTTTAGCTGTCCAATCCACAAGCATGGTATATCTTTCCATTTGTTTAGATCTTCTTAAATATCCCTAAGTGAAGTTTTACAGTTTTTCTTATAGAGAGCCTAAGCACCTTTTCTAAGACTTGTTCCTAGACACTTGATTTTTTGGATGCCACTATAAATGGAATTTATTTATTTATTCATTTTTTAAAAGATTTTATTTACTTATTTGACAGACAGAGATCACAAGTAGGCAGAGAGGCAGGCGGAGGTGGGGGAAGCAGGCTCCCTGCTGAGCAGGAAGCCTGATGCGTGGCTCGATCCCAGGACCCCGAGATCATGACCTGAGCTGAAGGTAGAGGCTTAAGCCACTGAGCCACCCAGGCGTCCCAATAAATGGCATTTAAAATATACTTTTTATTCTGTTTCTTGTTAATATATAGACATATGATTTAGGCATCCTGAATGCATATGTAGTAACCTTGCTAAACTCTCTTATTCTAATTGTTTATCTGTACAGTCTTTTGAATCTTCTGTGTCCAAAATATGCCATCTGAAAATACTGACAAATTTGCTGCATTTCCAATCCCTCTGCCTTTTGTTTTTCTCACTGCACCACCGAAGACCTCTAGCATGATACCAAATAGAGGTGGTGTTAGGGGGCCTTATTGCCACTATCAGAGGAAAAGCTTTTGAGTTTCAGTATTACATATGATGTCTGCTGCAAGTTTTCTGTAGCTATCCTTTTTCAGTTGTGGCAAAGACAATGCCATGTGTTCATTAAAACTCTGTTTTCCCCTTTCTGGGCACACTGGAAGCTAATACATCCATTCTTCTTGAAATTAGGTTGGGTTTCTGTGATCTCACTGAGTTGTAGTCAACGGGATGTGGGTAGAAGTGATGTCTGGCCCATCTAGACTTGGCCATAAAGATTCTTGCTGACCCTACAACTCTTTTATGGTGAATCTGAAAGCTGAAGTTAAGGATGCAAAGTCATGGGTAGGGCCTACTAGGATTCCTGAGACAGGGCTGGGCAGTGAATTGCTCTGTAGCCCTTCAGGAACTACATGGGATTTATCTGATGAGGGAGAAATGTTCTTTAATATGCTAAGCTCTTAAAATTGGGGGATTTATTATGGTAGACTGACCTGGTCTACCCTGATAAATAGGCTGCTTTAAGAAACGTTCCCAGCTATTCTCTGTTTAAGAGCTTTTGTCATAACTAAGTTTTGTCAAACATTTTCTCTGCAACTCTTGAAATGATGGTGTGATTTTTGTAGGATTTTTGACTACTTGCCAGTCAATGCCCCTGACTAATCATTTGTTGGGGGACTCTCCCCCAGGTGTCAGATAGATATGCCCTCCTCCAGAGAAGCTTCATGTATCTGTCTCCCAGGTCCCTGGAATTACTGAAAGTTATGGATGACCTTAAATGAAGGTGTCGACTTAAGGTTCTTTGAATAATTCCAGCAAGGGGCTGCAAATCTGAGCGAAGACTGATGTGCAGCCGTTTCTTCCTATCAGTATTTTATCCTTGCCTTTTTCTTCTTTGGCTTGCCTTAGTGCTAGGGCTTCTCTGAAGGCCTCTAGGACTGAGGGGAGAAGGAGGTTAAGATCTAGACCCTGAGGGTACAGCTCTTTGGGGTCCCACTTCATGTGGGGGAAGATACCCATCAGGTTCCCCAGCTTGTGAGGGCTCTAGCCTTTGAATTCTTTGTTGGCTTGTATGGCTGCTGATTCAAAGCTTAAGTGAGCAGTACTGGCAAGTGCCCACAGGGCATCAGTGGCTCTGATGTTCTAATAGCCTGCTTACTAACCTCCCTGGTTTTAGGGGTTTTTCTCCCAGCTGGTCTGAGACATCCCCACTTTTTGGCTTTAACAGAGAGGTTTGAAAAATGTTCTGCTCACCATTTGTTTTTGTTTTTAGTGGGAGAGCTGATCCAAAGAAGGCAGCCTGACCACCCCCCCACTCCCCCAACGCACACACCTTCCTGGAAGCTGAGAGTTCGCTGATGCATTTATCCTTCCTGGAGGCGGAGGCATCCACTCTATCAGGGGGATGACAGAACTAGTGGAGAATAAGGCAAGGATGTTCATCTTTTCACCTCCAGAAACTGGTTTCAAAAACTCATCTCAGAGAAATACTGGTGAAGGTTAGAATCAGGGTTTGTTGAGAAAGACTGATCAAATTTTGAAAGTCTCCCTAAAAAATATCAAGAGCCAGAGTCTAGGGAGTAAGAGCACACAGTTTTACTAAAATCCACAGAGGAGTAAGGAGAGAATACGAAAATGGAAAGGAAAAGCCCCTTCTGGGAGCTGGGGTGGGGTGGGTGGAGAAATGAGCAGCAGGCAGAGGGAAGGACCTGGTAGGAAAGATTTGTGGTGACCAAGAGTTTAGAGCCAAGTGGAGACCTGCTCCCTATATCCTCTTACCCTTTGGAGACAAAGCCTCCTGTGTGTTGAGTGGGGGAGGTTATAATTAATAGGCTTAGTTTTGGGAACCACAGAGCAGGTGGGCTGGTATTTTGGTTCCCACTTAGAATTCCAGGAGGAAACCATCTTGCTCTGTGCCAGCAGAGCACCAGTAGAGTAGAAGTGA